TCTCCAGCTGCCAACCCAAGGGAAGGAGTCAGCCACCCCCCGGGGGAGGGGGGTTAACTGGGCAGCCCTGTTACTTCCTGGACTATCCCAGTATCCTCTACTACAAACATACAGCTTCTGGCAATATTCTTGCCTCACCTCCCCAAGCCCCATCATCCTTCACACACAGCCTGTTCTGCACACCATTGTAGGACTTGGCCATCCTTTTACCTTTCTCACCTGTAACATCAACAAGCACCCAAGTCACCGTCTATCATGAGCCTGAAGCAATCATTCTTATCTGGTTTCTCTCAGGGACTCTCCTCCCTGTTCATCTTTGCTGCCACTTGTCTCAGCCCCTAACCCAGTGGATCTCAGCCCTCATAACACTGCAGCCCTTTAACACAGTTCAGGTTGTGATTACCCCCAATCATAAAATTATTTTCATTGCTACTTCATGTTTGCTACTGTTGTGAATCGTAATGTAAATATCTGTGGTTTCTAATGGCCTTAGGAAAGCCCTGTGAAAGGGTTATTCAACAACTCCCAAGGGGTGGAGAACTATAGGTTGAGAAGCACTGCTCTAGTAACTCTTCAGCCTCCTGCTAGACTGACCACACACTCCAGTATGCCAGAATCTTACACAAGAGTAAATCTAAACCCTACTTTTAAGGCCTGTGATGGGTGACATGAGTCACAGGCATGGCTTAGGCAGCCCCAAGCACAGCTACATCACCAGTGAATATCAAAAGCAGCTGTATGGTAGAGGCTTTTGGAAGGTGAGGCCAGAACTTATTCCAAAGGACCCAGCCTCCAAATAAATCACAAGCCAGGGAAAGGCCAAGGCCTATAGGAGCCAGGGACTCCACCAGGACAAGACTCTTGGTACCTGGCACATACACAGCCCACATTAGTATGTGAGGCAAAACCCTAACTTGATAAAACACTCACACAGGGTCTCCTGAAGGCACCTGGGAATCAGTGCTCCCTGGGCACATTATGCTGGGTCTGGGAGCAGAACTGCCATGTTTATTAGCTTGCTCTGAGGAGATGCTCATTCATTACCCACACCCAACAGCACAAGAAGACATGAAACTAAAGCTGTCAAGATTCCCACCTCTAAGCCTACAGGAAGTTTCAAAAATAAAGATTTATAAAGTGGTCATACCTGTCTCCCCACGTTCTCCTGGAAGGCAGCCTAAGGAGCAAAAAGAACAAATAGAGCAGGTAAGTGAGGTTTGGTTCTGCTAAACATAAGAAGATAAATTCAAAACAAACACAGCGCAGTGTAAATGACCCATGGCTTTACTTTTTAAATAAAAGTGCTCTTTGTTGGCTGACCAGAGCCCTGAGGGTGGTTTGTCACTGTTTTTATGTCCTGGTACTCTTTAAAACCACAGTTTAAGAATTCCATTTATAAAATCATATACAACCCAAGAGTGGCCTTTCACTGGAAAATACATCTTCACACTAACACCCCAATAAAGGTCCCAGAATACAACTCTGAGAACAAACTGCATACATAGGTCAGTAAGTAGAAGCCAAGTCCTAAAACATCTTAAGGAATTCCATGAACACAACTCACCACCATTCCCAACACTTTAGAGCTGCCTCCTAGAGGGCACACAGCTGTCTCTAACCAACTCTCTGAACTACCTAAGTCCTACATGCCAGGCACAAAATCAGGGCTGAAAATGTCCCATCTGAACTTGAACAAAATTAAGTACTTCTAAGTAAACCTTATGCAGATGACTCTTCTTTCTTGGGTGACAACTTTTCCTGTCTCTCACACTGTCCTACCTAGGACTGTCTGAACAAAGTGGCGATGAAACCGCATGCTCAGTTTATTACCCAGTGGGGTTTCCATCTTTCCCCAAGACAACCAAAGCTGAGGTCCAAGCAGGGTTAGAGGCCGCTGTAGACACAAGCTTCAAGTGGAACTGGAGTAAAGCTATACCCAACCATGCAACATGCACCATCCTGGCAAGCAGAGGTGAGAACAGACACAGGGGGTTAGGCAGTGGTGGCAGAAGTAACACTCCTTACCGGAGTAGACGTTCCAACATGAGTTAGAGGGTTGAGAGAAAGCATAAACGTACAGAAAGAGAACAAACTGAGCCACAGGACTCCAGGATCTATGCATCAACCCCACAGGACTGATAAGCACCAGGACAGAAATGTGAGGCATCTCTAGAACAGAGCCTCATGGTAGGGCAGTTGCTAGGTTACTAGCCTTCAGATGCTTCTAAAATGGGGGAAATTAGATGCTTTTGCTGCTTGCCATTTTGTAACACCCCCCCTTAAGATTTACTTTTTCTTTGTGTATCTGAGTACTTTATCTGGTAAGACAAGGCCACATGAAGATATACAGATTAATTTAAATGGGTTAATAATCAAGAGAGAGCTAGTCAATTAGAACCCTAAGTCATTGGCTAAACAATTGTAACTGCTATTCAGTCTCAGAGTGGTCATTTCATTAAGAGGCTGTGGGACCCAAAGGGTGGAGAGAAAACCCGTCCAGTGGGACAGAGATGGAGAAAATCTCCTTCAGCATGTATCCCACGTGCCCAGGGAGATCAGAAACTGGATCCCTTTACTTTTGTTAGGGATAGCTGTGAGCAACATGTGGGTGCTGAGAATCAAACTGGCGTTTTCTAAAGAACAGCTACTGCTCCAGCTCCTTGAAGTCAATTCTTTTTTTGTTTTTTGGGTTTTTTGTTTTTTTTTTTGTTTGTTTTTGTTTTTTTTTTTTTTTGAGACAGGGTTTCTCTGTGTAATCCTGGTTGTTCTGGAACTCCCTCTATAGACCAGGCTGGCCTCAAACTCAGAGATTAAAGGTGCGCCCCACCACTGCCAGGCCCTTTTAAACAAGGAAAGAAAGGATAAATGGATGGATACAGGGGGAGGGAGGGAGGGAGGGAGGGATAAACGGATACAATGTCAACTTAAATATAACCAGGGACATTGTCAAACAAAGTTAAAAACTAATATAAGATGTATGTTGAAAAATCTTGAAACAAAGAGGTTAGGGGATAACCCAACACAATAATATGAAGACAGGTATCAGCACAGACAGGAAACAGAAGAATGCTGGGAACAAGGTCAAGTGGTTAGCAGCCTTTATATTGAAAGCACACACCAAGTCATAGATTAACAAGATTGAAACCTCACTCAAATAGAAGAACCGTGTGACTAGGGATTCCCAACACACATCCCATATAAAGGACAAACATCTAGAATGCATAAAGAACTCTGAAAACTCAACAAGAAAAACTAATCAGACAATGACTAAGACTTGATGAGACACATCTCACTCAGGAGGATGCAGGCAGCAAATGAGCACACCACACTGCCTCAGCATCATCAGAGAAAAGAAAACTAAAACCACACACACACACACACACACACACACACACACACACACAAGCAAGACTAAAATAGCACAGTGGCCAGAAAGAAACTAGGCAACCCTTGCCACATCCCAGCAGAGATGAGGAGAAGCCATTATAGTATAGCCACCTTGGGGAACAGTTAGCAACCCCCTGGAAGAAGGGACCCAGAAACTGTACTCTAGGCATACACCCTAAGAAATAGAAACTATGACATCCTGTTTCCTGTGAGCCTTTGGGTCAAGTTTTGTAGCCATGGTGAAGATCTCTGCTGTGCTGGGAGGACTCCTTGAGGTTTTTTGCATTAACTCATGGTTTTCTTAACATAACTGCATCCTTGTCTTATACTGGGCCGAGGTTAAACTGACACATTTTGTTGGCATGAGAAACATGCCACTTCAAGCCCATGAACTCTCCTGAGGATATAGCTGTCCTGTCTCCTACAGAGATCAAGACATATTTGTGTTCTTTTGTCTTCTAAATAGCTGTGGCATCAGGGTCCATGACCTGCCACACAGTATAGTCACTCAAAGTTCAATCATGTACGCTCCAGTGCAGCTAGGTGTCACTTTACACTATCCAATATCTTGCTTCATTCCAAAGAACACGTCACTCTTGTTGGAAGTCCAAAAAGTCCTCTTTCAGTTCACTATGAAAATGTAGCTAAAAATTTTGAAATGAGCTATGCAACCTTGAAGTAATGGCTCAATGAAGGTCTCGCTGCTTCTTTGCAGTGGAGCTCATGACCACCATTCCTCACCCTTTCCAGTGAGACTTTTTTTAAACAAGAAATTTGCCAAGTTGTTTACCTATAAGAATAGTTTCAGAACCTGGAAGCAACCTAGATGCCCCTCAACCAAAGAATGGATAAAGAAAATGTGGTACATTTACACAATGGAGTACTACTCATCGGGGGAAAAAAAAATCAATGAAATCTTGAAAATCGCAGGCAAATGGATGGGGCTAGAAGAAACCATCCTGGGTGAGGTAACCAGACATAGAAAGAAAACCATGGTGTGTACTCACTCATAAGTGGATATCAGACATAAAGCAAAGGATTACCAGCCTACAATCCACAACTCCAGAGAAGCTAGGATACAAGGAGGACCCTAAGAGAGACATACATGGACCCCTGGAGAAGGGGAAAGGGACAAAATCTCCTGAGCCTCGGCAATGTGGTGATACACAGATTAGTAAAAATGAGTTAATTTAATTGTGAGAGCTAGTCAGTAATATGGATGAGTCATTGGCCAAGCAATTACAATTAATATTAAGCCTCAGAGTGTTATTTTATAAGAGACTACAGGACAGGCAAGACACACAAAAGCTACCAACTACACATAACCTATGATGCTACCCAGTAGAAAGCAGGGTAAAGGGTAAGAAGATTTTACTACATTCTCATAACTCTACATGAAGCTCAATAATGTCAAAATAAAAGGCAAAAAAATTACAAGAACTAAAATGAAATTTCAAATGAAATACTGGGTGAATATATTAAAAGCTTGTGACTACTGCTTCTCTCCTATCTCCGCCACCCACCCACCCTGTCTCTCCTCATCTCTCCATTCTTTATCCAAGCTTCCCACAAGAGCCACACCCATTTCCTGTCCTTGGGAGAAGGACAGGTCTTTTCACAAAGTCAGCACATCCAGCCTGCTGGATACCATCTAGCATGCAATACATGGAATAATTAGCAACATGTAACTAATCCTTCCCACCAAGCAATGCCAGGACTCCCCTGTCCAGCCCCTGAATGTTGACCACCATAAAGAGCCAGCATCGTGAAGCTCTAATGAGTTTTCAAAACAACGGCCCTATTTCCTCAAAGCACTGTGGTCACCAGACAAGGGACCCAGGAAGAGGGGATGGGTCAACCAACAACAGCTGAAAGGAAAGGTAAGGCCAAAAACTGGCACCATCTGGGCACTTCACACACCCAGAAAGAGAAACCTGGAAAGGTGTCAGTCAAGAGGCTGAAGAGTCCACCTAAAGCAGCAGCTGCCTGAAGAAGCAGCTTCCTGGAAAGATGCTCTTGGTTCACTTAGAACACTGTCTTCAAATGCGCCTCAGATGGAGGCGACACTCATCTGCCGGTGTTTGAATCCTACAGTCTACTCTGTAAACAGTGCTGTGCTCAAAAGGAACACAAAGAATTTCTTACTAGTTTAATAGGGTTTTTAACTTCAAGTTAAAAAACGAACCGGATTTTTATTTATATATATATATATATATATTTTTTTTTTCACTTCATCCCAGGTCACATAGTCATAGGGCTTTGATTTTACTATTTATTTTACTATTTGTTTTACCCATAAATACGTCTTAGGTTACAGAAAACATAATAATATATTAGTACAGATCTAGTTTAAAATTTTATTATAATCAGACTTACAGTTACTGTCTATCAGTTAACTATGAGACTGCTAAGGCCTCCCAAGAAACCACTGGGTCCCGACTAATACTGCAGACAAAATGGAGTCCCTCAGAGACTGCCGACAATTTTAAAGGACTCTGGGCAGGGTGCTTGCATCCTAGCTGCTTCTTGGTGCAGATGTAGGCAGAAAGCCAACAGCAACCACAAAAGACCACAGGCATCCTGAGCCAGCAAGACCTCAAACGTCACCTGACCAGAACGCCAGAAGCATGACCAACCCCTTGGCTGAGATCCTATGATCCAGCACTGGAACAGCTGGACTTTCTAAGCCCTCCATAGTAGGTCCTCACATATGAGTACCCAATACGCCGGCTACTGTGCAAAACACATGGCTGAGGCAGCAATGGATATATAGGAACTAGGAACTCAGGGTCTGAGTGCAAATCTGCTGCAGTGCAGCCAGAGGCCAGCAGCCAAGTAACAGACAGAAACTCCATCACTTGTGACAGACAACTGAACAAGACAGGGACCAGGGTAACAGAGAAGATGAAATCAATTAAAGCCTTTGATAATACCAAATCACTTCACTTGATAACAAGGCTCATCTTGAGAAACGAGAAAGATGGGCAGATCTGTATTAAGTAAAAACAACTGAAAATAGGAACTATTTTCAAAAACAAAAATGCCTAGATGGGTTCTTAAGACAGGTACTATCAAATGAAATAAATCTCTTAAAAACTATGGTACAAAAGAGAAATACGTCTACACCCTTGATGGTGTTACTTCATCTTCAGTTCAACTGCAGACAAAAATACCTGAACAAAAGACTAACAACCCTCAAGAACAGATTCTGAAATTCTACTCCTGAGACTCCGCACCATCCTACTGTGAGGCCTGGCTCCTATCCCCACAGAATACATCTACAACACTGCCAGCTCCATCCCAGTCCTCTCAGAGTTTGGACATCTTGTTGGTACTAACAAACCCCACCTGTTTTCCAGAAGCCCTGTCCTTTCCCTCAGTCTCAGAGCAGTTGCAGTAGTGTATCACTGGCAATCTGTGTCTATGACCAGCTGGGACAAGGATGTGAAGCCTCTGTGCTCAATCCCTGGGAACTCCAAACTCCCAACTCCACAGAGCTCACAGTAAGCTGCAAGGTTTACCCTACAGCTCTCTCAGAGGCTTCCCCTCCATTCCTGAGCATCCCAAATGTGTTCAACTGCTGGCCTGCCTGCTCAGCTACAGACTGCTAAGACATCACAGCAGCCCTGACAGCCTGTTTAACATCTGAGGTCCTCTCAGTTGCAGCCTCCAGCAGCATTCATGGACCTGGCCTCAGCACTGACCACAGCAGTCAGCTAGCCACATGTAGAGTCAGCTATAGCTGCAACATTCCCACGCAGGCAACCCTAGGAAAACATCTTAGTCGCTTCCCCCTTGTAATTTATGAGACTTGGGTCTCATCAATGGCCCTAGCCAACATTTCTATTGGCACACAGAGCTACTCAAGCTCCTTCTACCCAAACCCATCCAAAAGCTGGATCTCAGGGAACCTGAGTAACTGAGTTCAAAACAAAGGCCAACAGGCAGCTGTAAGGCCAAAGCTCACCCAGGTGGATCCACTCGAATGTGGCCAGGAGAGCAGAGCTAACCACAGCTTAGTAACAGCTCCTCCTAGAGCACAAAGCCTCCAGTGTCTCATCCTGTCATCCCTGGACCGGCCCTGCCATGTCATTTAGGTTAGAATCACAGGATAAATTCCTCCTCCTCTGAAGAGCTTGAGCTACCCTGACCTTGGTCTTGTTACTGACCAGAAACCTGCTCACCTGTACTTGTTCAAGTATTTCACCACAGCTGACTGTGGCTATCTCAGCAGTACTGGATGGAGGCCTTGGACCTCGACGTCCCCAGACTCCCACAGTAAATGCTACCATAATGACTGCTTTACTCAGTTTTTTCATCAGATCTCTGTGGTGATACATTGTTTATGATTTAATAAGGCTTGCCTGGGGATCAGAATGCAAAGCTAGCCACACTAGTTAGCTATAGATGCCAAGCAGTGGTGATACACACCTTGAATCCCAGGACTCAGGAGACAGAGGCAGATGGATCTCTGTGAGTCCAAAACCACCCTGGGCTACACAAGAGTGAATCAGTCTAAAAGGAAACAGAGCTCACACCTTTAATCCCAGCACTGGAAAGGTATATAAGGAAGAAGCAAAGGGTCTCATGTGAGATTCAGTTTCCAGTCACAGGGAGACAGGATCTCCATTTCAGCCTTGGTAGAGGTGAGAGCTGCTGGACGGCTGCTTTGCCTTTCTGATCCTCAGCTTGAACTCCAGTATCTGCCTCTGGGTTTTTATCATTTGTGCTACAGATCTCCTTTGCTGCCGTGGAGAATGGGTTTTCCAGGGAGACAAAGGCCCACATATAGGACATCAGCAATAGTTATAACCCCACCTCCAGGAAAGGAATGAAACTTACAGAGGCTGCTCTTCTGCAGTTCACATTTCGGTCAAATATGGCAGCAATGACCAGTGCACTGTAAAAACAAGGAAATGATTAATTAAAATGAAATATGCAAGGTCTGGGAAAATAACTCAGTCAGTAAAGTGCTTGTCTTGCATGAGATCCCTCATAAAAATGTCCGTGAGGTGGTGCGTGCTAATAATCCCAGGGCTGGGGATGGAGACAGGAGGATCTCTGGGCCTGCTGCCCAGCCAGTCTTGCCTAATGGCTGAACATCAGGCCAACAGGAAACCCTTTCTCAAAGGAGGTAGACAGAATTCCTGATAATGATACCCAAAGCTGTGCCCAGACCATGTGACATCCTCCCGCTGTTCACTTACTTGCTCACTTGCTGTGAAAGAGCCTCACTGACAGCAGGAAGCTCAAGGTTCCTAGAAGCTACAACACATTTAAGTGACCTCTAAGATATCAAGCATTATATCCCCAGCCCTAACAAATGTCCTTAGATGGTGTCCCTAGCCTCTAGTGTCTTGGAGAAAAATGTCTCTGGCTACTAGGATCACAAGTACTCAACAAAATGCAAAGACAATGGTGCTAGAGGATGAGAACTGGTAGCATACAATGGTCACAAATGGGTAGCTGACACCAACACTCCTAGACCATTGCTGCTTATGCCTTCCAAACCACACTGAACAGCAAGAGCTCTATGGATCCTGCAGGCAGCTTGCCCCTTGAAAGTGCCCAAACATATGGTTTCAACAATGCCCACAAGTTCAACCCAGTGTGAAGCATGATAGATCTATCTGGGGTTGAGAGACATGAGACATGATGAGAATTAGATGAGGTCAGCAGGATAAGACCAAGACTGGATCCTTGGGGTTTTACAAGGAGACATATCCTATACTCTGCTCCCTGCCCCTTTCAAAGTGATACTCGTGCTGCCTCAGGACTCTGCTGGCAAGATGGCCACTGCTACATACAGCCTCTTGACCTTGGACACAAATAAAAAGTCAAAATAAGCCTTTGTTTTGTTTTGTTTTTTAACAAAGTAGTATTCTTCAAGTATTTGATATAGTAATGAGTAACCTGCTAACAGGCAGTCAGCCAGTTATATCAGTCACCATAGAAACAACACATGGAAGGCAGCTGTTAAGTCTCAACCTTTTCTACAGGCAGAAATAGTTAACACTACACCAACCCAACTATTCCCAGATCACATGACACTCAACAGGCTTTAACTAAGTCTTTTTCTTATATACCAAACTTCATTATTGTCAGATTCTACAGAGTCCTTACTCCTCTCCATCTCAGGTCTCTCATCTCTCCTGCACCTACCAGTTACTGCTATGGGTCCCATCCTCAAGGGGAACACTTCCCAGGGAAGCATCTTCCCATCTGGGATTTCTCTCCTTGTCCCAACATCCCTTGCAGCCCCAGGGACGCTCTCTGGAAACAGCAAGGTGCAAGACCTAAGGACCAAGGACCAGTCAAGTCTGTCTTTCTCAACCTCCTTCTCAACTTTCCCAGACATGCAGTGAGTATTATTCCCAGCCCAGGAGACAGAAATGTGAGGCCATAGACCCGCCGTCCCAACTCCCACACTCTGGGGCCACTGCCTCCCACAGACCCAGGCAGGAACAAACAGCCTCCACAGATGAGGCTGCAGCCCTGTACTCAGATGTAAGGGGCTCTTATAGAAGAAGGATGCCTGCAATCCTAGACTCCACATACCAACCAGGGGTCACCAGAGGACAAAAATGGTCTTTGGGGAGTAAGAAAATGCTCAAGAACAGGAACTAGAGGAAGCTAGATAACTCAGCATGCCACCAAGCCTGATACCTGGATGTGATCCCTGAGTCACACATGGTAAAAGAAAAAACCAAGTCCTTGAAAGTTATCCTCTGACCTCCACATACAGGTGTACACACACACACTCACACACACGCACACACACATACATATACATCACACACACACCATATACACACACACAGACACACACACACACCATACACACACACACACACACACACACACATACATCACACACACCACACACACACACACACACACACACGCACGCACGCACGCACGCACACACATGCACACGCACATACATATACATCACACACACACCATATACACACACACACAGACACACACACACTTTTTTTTTTGTTTTGTTTTAATGTTAAAAAAATCAGAATGGCGCTAAGTATGTATGTGCCAGTCGGCCAAACCTGCCACAGAAGAGAGGACTAGTGCAACAAAAGAGTTGGTAAAGTACTCGTCTATAATCCCAAGACGTAGATGGGAGAAGAGCAAGGACACAACTGTCTTGGTTTGTAATAATCACAGTTGGCAGCACGGAGAGGAGGGGAAATGTGATATACAGCAAGGGATGGTTATGAACATCTTAAAATTGTTTCTACCCTAACACACCACAAAGGCTTTTGTGACTGGTCTTCAGATCATAATATTGACTGAGGCATGTATTCATGTGGTCTAGTAATTCATAAGACACACACTTACTGCTGTTAAGAAAACATATTTGCTCCACACCATCCCCTTCTCCAAGGTTCAGGGTACATCTTCCGTCTTCTGAGAGCTGGATTATAGGAAGGAAAGCTATGAAATCTTGTCTTCTGAACATGACATGGTCACTGCACTCATGAACTCCCTGAGGCTTCAGTTATCTGCACAAGACTATTCAAGACCAAGCCAAACTGACCAGTCAGCATCTTAGCAGACAGTGCTCACCTGATTCACCGGCTACAGAAAAAGGAGAGGGCTTGGGAGGGAGACCTGTTGGGGTTGCCAGGGAAGAGGGATGGCAGAGCTGGGAGTGGGTATGCTCAAGATACATTGTATAAATTATGAAACTCTCAAAAATAGGGAGAAGATACTCTATTTTTTTAAGAAGTACATTGGACATTTATTTTAAATATGTTCTTAGAATGGAAATTTAAGTACTGTTCTATATTAGAGCTTTGCTTTTTAAAACCATGTTTTCTAGGAAAAGAAAGTAAAAATTTCTAATTTCCTTTAATGTCTGCCTAGAGGAAATGTAGGCCACAGTTGATAATACTGAAAGGTTATGCAGCACTAAACTTGTAGAATTTCCTGTTCATGCATTTGGCTCAACTACTATGTTAAGCCATGAGAAGAGAGGATGAACACAGACAACACCTGAAACTATCTCTACACAGTTTAGTCCTCTCCAAAGTCATGGACACAGTCCATTTTAACTGACCTCCTAAGTCCCAGTTAAGTGTCTTCTGATCTGCTCTGAGGGTGCATATCTGCAGACATCCTACCCTGCCCAGGCAAGCTGATCAAAGTCCAATTTCAACCCAGTGTCCATTCTAGAGAAGCCAGGGCATTCAGAAAATAAAGCTGTTTTTTCATAGCCTTCTACGCATTCTATACATCCAGGGCCTGGGCATGGGAATGAGGAAAACCCCAAATGTCATATAGCCTGGCTCAGCCAGGTATGGTGATAAAACCAAAGCTGTACAAGAGGCTGCTTTCGGCATTAGCTTCAATGTTTTATTTCCTTCCTCCTAGGGACAGGGCTCTGCCCAATTCACCCCTTTTCCTAAAATGTTTTCCACAGGTTACTGAGTGACTTTACAGCTGCAGATGAGACCTGATAAGGTGGTAGTTAGGGTAGCTTCTATTGGGGCCCTCTCCCAACTCCTCTTGTCCTTCTCAGGTGTGTGGAAAGCTGAGGGAGTATCACATACATGTATCTGTAGGCATCTCTCCTGTGCTCAGAATCAATACAAGAAGCTCCTCCCATGGGGACCATGGCCAGTGGGAAGGCAGCCACAGCAGGCCTGGCCACCTGCTTTACTTATGGGGCCATCCTTCCCACAATCATTCTGACAGATCTGCGTGCTCACAAAAGCCCCCACTACCACGATCCTCAGAGCACAGGGATGTTTCAACTATTTTTTTTCTAGGCAGTGAGAATGCTAGCGATGGTTCCTCTTGGTCTCTGACACTGAACACACACAAGCTGCTCCATGCAGACCTCACCAAGGTCTCAGCAAGCAAACTGAGCCGTAAGCTACAAGGACTGGGATATCGAGTGCAGAGTCCAGTGTCGGCTGTCACCACAGAGGAAGCCTGTGCTTAACATCAGCAACACAGCCAAGAGAGCAGCAGCTTCATGCACTACACCAAGCTAGTCTTTCCTCAATGCCTTACAAGTCACTGCTTCATTCATAACCTTTTTTTTTTTTTTTTTTTTGGTTTTTCGAGACAGGGTTTCTCTGTGTAGCTCTGGAGCCTATCCTGGAACTAGCTCTTATAGACCAGGCTGGTCTCGAACTCACAGAGATCCGCCTGCCTCTGCCTCTGCCTCTGCCTCTGCCTCTGCCTCCCGAGTGCTGGGACTAATGGTGTGCACCACCACCACCCGGCTCTTTCTTTTTTAGGAAAGAACTTATTCTGTAGTCCAGGTTAGTCTCCTGCCTTAGTCTCTCAAGTGCTAAGATTATAGGCATGAGTCAGGACTTACGTGTTTCATCACACTTCAGAGATTATACTGAGGTAAATGTAACATGGGAAACTCTGTTTTTTAAGTAACAGTAAGCTTCAAGTTAATTAAAATAAATCTGCATGCACTTATGAGTATTACAGTTTTTTAAACCCTGTTTGAATTTGGGCTGAATTTTTTTATACTTTCTATTCATTTTTCCTATGTTTATGTGTCTGTGTACCACATGTGTGCTGAGCCTGAGGAGGCCAGAAGAAGGCTTCAGATTCCCCGGAAGTAAGAGTTACAGACAGTTGTGAGCTACCATGTGAAGGCTGGGAATTGAACCCAAACCCTCTAACGAGCAACCAGTACTTTTACCCACTGAGTCATCTCTCCAGCTCTGGACTAACTCCCTTAAAACTATTTTCCTACCTTAAGAACAAGACTGGATTATTTAAAAATACAAATATGTTTCAAGTGCAAAGGGGTTTAATGACATTAGTCAAATAGAAGCAGAGAAGCATCTTCCTAAATCTCTGCTCTCATTGATGCTAACCTTCACCGTAGGCCTCAGTCACCCTCGGCAGGGTGACCCTGCGTGAGTGTCACTCCTCTCTCCTCAGAGAAAACCTGAAGAGCAACACCTGGCACCCACAGTGAAAGCTACTATCTGGAGAGAGGTGCTTGTGGGCGTGTCCACCGGGCTCATTCTCTGAGGAAGCTGTGTGACAGGTAACTCACCAAGATTTACCAACACAGAAGGGATACTCTTTTTAGTATAAGCCAAGGGAAAGTGGCATGCCTCAGCCTGCTTCTCTCTGTCCCCACAGTCTTACACCTCACTTCAGCATATGTAGTGAGAATCCCATTCATCCCAAACTATTTTTTTTTCATTTCTATGATCCTATGTAGCACTCAAAGGCAAGCATACTTGCTTCTACATGGGAAACAATAGCACTGCCATTCTCAAGTAATTTTTAAAAGAGAAGACTAATAGCTCATTGTCCATCTATGTTTTTTAAGTTGCAAATCCCATTATAATATAAACCCTGCATTTTACTAATTTCCCTAAGCCATAAGCAGAACCGTGTACTTTGGGGTCACAGCCAAGCAGCACAAAGTTGAGCCTAGCAAACCAAGACTGTCTCCAATTGCTGGCCTCCGCACAACAGGAGTTTTCCCTTCTCTGGACGGTGGGCCATTCAGAGAGACAGAGAAGAACAAGACATAGCTTTGAGCAATGCTTGCTATTTCCTGATTTTTTTTTTTTTTTCAGGACAATCTTGCCCTGGAGGAAGAGATCCTACAGAGCCAATCCCAGGCTGTTCACAGGCAGCCCACGCTGCCCTGCCGGTTTGCACAGTGGAGGTGAGAGTCAGGAGCTGCCCCTGGCACAGGCGGGGCCTGTGCCTGGGCGGAGTGAATGTCAACAAGAGCTCAGCTTACAAAAGAGTTTCAGGTGAGGAAATCACTAGAAGGTGACAGGCAGAGCACTCTGGCAGCTGCAGAGTTTGCTTTCTTTTCTTTCCTGTAGCACAGACTCTGACTTCTGGTTAGAAATAATCATCTAGGTAACACCACACACTCAGCCATCACATTTTCACTTCTGGTTGCAAACAATCATCTAGGTAACACCACACACTCAGCCATCACATTTTCACTTCTGGTTGCAAACAATCATCTAGGTAACACCACACACTGGGCAGTCACATTCACACACTCAGCCATCACATTTTCACTTCTGGTTGCAAACAATCATCTAGGTAACACCACACACTGGGCAGTCACATTCACACACTCAGCCATCACATTTTCACTTCTGGTTGGAAACAATCATCTAGGTAACACCACACACTCGGCCGCCACATTTTCACTTCACACCTTGCTGCCACTGCATTGCACTGGGCTTTTCAGGAAGCCAGATTTGTTCCACAAAACAGTCATTCCTGCTCCACCTGTCTTTGGTCAAAGAGATAAAAGTCTTTCAAAAAGATAAAAATTTACCTTTAAAATCCTTTAAGATTTCTAAAGCAGAGTTAATACTGTGAGGGGGAAGAACTGACCTAGTTTCTTCAGCCAAAAGTTAGAAAAGGTTACTGGTTGTCTCTGCATTAGGCACCAAAGCACACAGAGCTCCTCAGATCACCTCCCTGGTTCTTTCTGACAGATTTCTACTTATTCTGGGATCTACATTTGGATCTCAACTCTACTTTTACAAGATACACTAAGGAGTTTGTGAAAGTAAAGATACCAAGATTTTATCATGTGCCAGAATTAATGGGCTTAAAACCTGATAATTAAAAAGCATGGTCACTCATGACAAACCTCGCAAGCAGGTCTGCAGGGCACACCCGACCGATACTCAGACAGCACAGAGCTCCAGGCGGGAGGTAGTGCAGGCCCCAAGCTCACTGGCGCACCTGACTCACCAGGTGCCCTCCCCTACTGATGCCTGGAGTCAGATGGGCCAGGAAGGGCCAGGCACAAGTTCCTCAGAACCTGTCCAACCGGCTAGAAGCCTGCAGCAGCACAGATCCAAAGGGCACTGCTGCCTATCTGAGGCAGGTGCGGGGGGGAAAGGGGGCCAGAAGAAGACTTCTCAGAAGAAACTCCATAGCAGCTACCTCTGTCTGCTGCCTGCCAGCTCGAGAGAATCAGGAGGCTGTGAAGGAGAGGGTTAGCAGTACTGTAGCCAGACAGCTGTAGTTTCCATGTGCAACACACAGATGTGAGCTCCCCAGCAGCCCCTCAGGCTTTCCCATATGTCAGTAAGCCCAACCTCTTCAAACCCTCTGTAGGACCCACAAGTTTCTAAAGACTACACCAACTACTCCTTGGCCAGGAAAGTTAGGGTCATTACAGAGACTGCACTGTATATACATAAAGTCAAGGCCACTTTTGTGCTCACCCAGAGTCCTAACAGAAGCAGCATTCTTCACACCACACCCAACAGGAAGAGGACCTCACATCTCCCCATGGGGCACCCCACACTCAGAGTAAGCTCAGTTCACATAAGTTCTGGGAAGACCATGCCAAGCTCAATCTGGGCCACCTTCTACAGTCTTTAGACAGTAAACCTCATGGCCAAGAGACTGTGCAAGGCCAACTTAGAGTGTCCATTTTTTTTTTCCCAGAATGAAAATAGGATAAAATGGTGAGTAGGAGATAGGTGTAGAGCCAGGTATGACCCTGGCACAACACTGGTGAACTGCCAGGGGACTGTGAAAGATGGGAAGGACCCTTAGTTCTGATGTACAGTTGCCTTTTTTTCCCTGAGTAGGAAAGGACAACCCTGAAACAAAAGGGACCGTGTTCCTTCAGCAAGTATAGAAGCTCCTCACCATACTGCTGTGTGTGTGAGAAAAGCTTCAGCTGGGAAAGACAGGACAGAGCCCAAAGAACCACCTGAAGCCCTAATACCAAGTCAGGGCAGCTGACTTCAGAGCCATGTCAAGCCTATCAGCCATGTTTTTCAAAGACTGTTCCGTCCCTTTACAAAATCCACCCAGAGATCAATCAGTGCTGTGACACAAGTCCTATAGCCCTGACTGAAGATCAGCACTCTGGTGGGAACTTTGTGACCCTGGCTTTTCACTCTGGAGCAGATGCCCTGCTGGTCCTTCCAATCATGAGGAAGTTGGTAGGGACCTCTCATCTGTGTACCTCTTACCTTCAAAAGCAGCAGAATGGTCTTGAATCCCCACATTTAACAAAAGAGAACAGGGAGATAGCCACACACTGCCTCTGACATGGCTGTATGCTCCCAAGCCAGCAGGCCAGCATCCATTCCCATCATTCTGTTCCCTCCATCAGGCCATCCTGCCTTCCTACCTCCTGGATCAGGGGAGGTAGAAGGACATGGTACAACATTCTATAAGTTTGTTGCTCTCTGACCAAAACTGTTAAACTAAATGGAATCTGTAAAGATTGCTTTTACTTTCAAGTAGTAAACAACCACACATCACAGCCAAGGTCCCTCCCAGTCCTTCATAATCTCCTGGCAGTTCATCAGTGCCATGTCAGGGTCATACCTGGTCCTGTATTCAATACTCTATCCTCTTTACCCCCTATCCCTGCAGCTGCCCACCTGATAGAGCCCTATGGAGCTGAGCAAGATGCCATTAATCTAAAGACGTTCCACGGCTCTGGGACAGGTGTGAACAGGAGAAAAACTTTCTTCCTACTTACACTGTATAAGTCCTGAAATTTGAAGGTAAGGACAAGAAAGCAGCTGCAAGAGCCTCCTTCAAAGCCACATAAACAGCAAACAGAGGACGAATCCAGATGGCAGTGGAGTGGGAAGCAGAGAGGTCACAGCCATGGATAGGGCCCAAAGCTCAGCAGAAGCCACTGGACAGCTGGGCTCTTGGTCTTCCCCACCCACAGCCTACAAATGATAGCACAGCCTCCTGACAACCCTGCATATGTCCTATTCCCTGTGAGTGGTACACCTCAGTATATGTTTATTCTCCACAAAATGAAACAGGCCCAGAGAAACTCTTTTCTGAGATCAGATGGTTCCAGTCAGATGTCCAGGAGGAATATTCTGGAGCTGTGCCTGTATGAGGTGAGTGAGTGAGTCTCACCATAGGGATAATCCAGGGGGTCCTGGCTCACACTTTCAGAGTTCTGGAATATAGGAATATCTGCTTTTCCTGAGGCTGGTCTGGTCTGTCCTGATTTCCTAAGTTGTGTGGCCAGTACTCTTGCACCTCACCTTCATTCAACAACTTGTGATATAAACAGTACCGGAGAGCTCTGTGAGGCAGGGAAGCATTCTTAGAAGTGGAGTGGCAAGTGCTGGGTCACCAGACTCCAGTACCTCTGGCCAAGCAGGAGTAGGGTGCCAGGTGTAGGGGTGGTAGCTCTGGAGTTCAGTGGCTCCTGGAGCTCCGTGCCTCAGGCATAGTACCAGTGCTCTTCTGCCTGGCCTTCAGGAGTATTGTTTTCTTTTTCCTTTCCCTTTGAAAGATGCAGAACCAATGGGTCCTCTCCGATTCTGTGCATCAATTGGCACATAACACTGGAGGGAAGGGGCAGTCAACTTTCTTTGAGTTCAGGGTTCATTCTGTTTCTTTCTGAGGAGCCAAAGGAGGGTGCCAAGTAGCTCAGTGTGCTCATCAAGGTGTGACTGTCATAATGGATCCTCTCTGTCTGAGGCTTGTCATGCTCACTAGGGCAAGGCCTATGGCTTGATCTGTTCTTAACACACTGTGGGACCCTAGGAGCATGGGTTCCAGAGTATTCTAGTGGCTGAACTTTACTCTATTCCCATGCATGTCATCTCTCTGAAGCGGGACCTGGAGCCCATTTGCCTCCCTGGACAGTGGTGCTGGGAACCCTTTCTGCCCACCCAGCAGATCCTGTCCCATTCCACGACATACGGTAGTCTTTTTCCTGTCTTGTCCACCTGTTAAAAGGGAGTGGTGAAGCCCAAGAATGCTGGTACCGGCAGCTAATGTAGAGAATGGCTTATCTGAAGACAAGAAGTTCAAGGCAGATGGAATGTTTCCTTGAGGTATATCTACCACATGGCATAATCACCTTTTAGCACAACCAACAGGCTTTACCTTGAAATGGCAGTCACGAAAGGTGTCAACTCCTGAGGCTCATAGGCACGTGCAAAAGCCCAGCACACATAGCAGGCAGCATCCCTGACGTTGGCCCCCACACTGCAGGCACCCCGCTTCTCATCGTAGGTCAGTGCCTTCAGGATCACTGTGACAACTGGCAGAAGACAAAAACAGTGAGCAACTGATGGCACATCATGAGACAGGCCAACAAGAATCAAAACCCGCTCAGAACAAAGTCCTGAAAGGAAAACAAGTTCACCAGCTCCAAGGTTCCAAGATGAATTTTTTGAGTTTCCCAAGAATTGCACAAAGAAATGACAGTTCTTCAAAACAATAACCACAGCTAGGCTCCCAAGTTTGTAGTCATACCAAGAGAGTGCAAAACTCAGAAGTTCACACCAGGATAGAAAGGGTCATGTGTTTATGGGGAGTGAAGCAGAGGATGTAAAGCCATAGGACACCATACAAGTCTTGTCTTTGCAAGACTTCAACAAGCTCAGAGAAGGGAGGAGACACCATGGGGCCTGGACCAGAAAGGGGCCCTGCAAGTTCCAAGGCTGAGGAGGCAGACACAAAAAGCCAGTCCTAGTGGCTCTATGTGCACAGGACTGTCTGCTTGTTTCACTATCTGAAGTGTGTATAATAACTGTGAGATAAAGACACACGAATTCTTCTGGTTCTAATGAAAATATACAACCAAATAACTGATACACACGCACACACACAGACAGAGTCTCACACACACACACACACACACACACAGACAGAGTCTCACACACACACACACACGCACGCACACACAGACAGAGTCTCACACACACACACACACGCACGCACACACAGACAGAGTCTCACACACACACACACACGCACGCACACACAGACAGAGTCTCACACACACACACACACGCACGCACACACAGACAGAGTCTCACACACACACACACACGCACGCACACACAGACAGAGTCTCACACACACACACACACGCACGCACACACAGACAGAGTCTCACACACACACACACACACACAGACAGAGTCTCACACACACACACACACACGCACGCACGCACGCACGCACACAGACAGAGTCTCACACACACACACACACACACACACACACAGACAGAGTCTCACACACACACACACACGCACGCACGCACGCACGCACACAGACAGAGTCTCACACACACACACACACGCACGCACGCACGCACGCACACAGACAGAGTCTCACACACACACACACACGCACGCACGCACGCACGCACACAGACAGAGTCTCACACACACACACACACGCACGCACGCACGCACGCACACAGACAGAGTCTCACACACACACACACACGCACGCACGCACGCACGCACACAGACAGAGTCTCACACACACACACACACGCACGCACGCACGCACGCACACAGACAGAGTCTCACACACACACACACACGCACGCACGCACGCACGCACACAGACAGAGTCTCACACACACACACACACGCACGCACGCACGCACGCACACAGACAGAGTCTCACACACACACACACACGCACGCACGCACGCACGCACACAGACAGAGTCTCACACACACACACACACGCACGCACGCACGCACGCACACAGACAGAGTCTCACACACACACACACACGCACGCACGCACGCACGCACACAGACAGAGTCTCACACACACACACACACACACACACACACACACTCACGCACACACACACACACACACAGTAGTTGATACCAGGAGGTGGTAGAATTTAAGATGTGTGCAAGAATGACGCAACATTAAATTTATACTATCCCTGGGTATTAACATGAAGGGCTCTAGGTTAACATCACAAAGATACTTGCTCATCAGTGTTGTTTTGTTTTGTCTGAGACAGGGTCTCACTGTGTAGCTCTAGCTGGCCCGGAACTTGCTATGTAGATCAGTTTAGGCTAGCCTTGAATTCTGCCTGCCTCAGCTTCCCAAGTGCTGGGATTAAAGGTGTGTGCCACCATGTCCGTCCGGCACATCCATTAATGTTTATTTGCAGCACTGTTCGAAATAGCTAAGTTACAGAACAAACCTAGGTATCCATCAAGAGAATGGATAAAGAAAATATAGTACATCTAAACAATTAAGTTTTATTCTATCATATAAATAAGAACAAAACAAGGGGCTCAGTCAATCAAGTGCTTGCCGGGCAAACATGAGGACCTGAATTCAGCTCTCTAACACCCATATAAAAGCCAAGTATGGTAGGGTGTGTAACCCCAGCCCTGGGTAAATGAGGAGACAAGAAGATCTCTGGGACTCATTGGACAACCAGCCTAGCCAAATCAACAAGTCCCAGAGTCAGTGAGAGAACCTGTCAAAAAATAAGTTAGACATCAATAGAAGATATCTGCTATCTACCTCTTTCTTCCACATGCTCACACACCCTCACAAACACATACATACATACCACACACACAAAAAACACAAATGAATGAAATCATGCTATTTACAGGGAAATGGATCCAAATGGAGATTATCACATTAAGCAAATTAACTCACTCAGCAATAATATCACATTTTTCTCTCATTTGTAGACACTAGATTTTATACAAAAATCATGCATGAAGCAAAACTGTTTGGGAAAGCAAAAAGGATCTAACAGGAGGGAAAGGGGGAATAAAAACAAAGGAAAAGAGAATATGGCAAGGAACACAGTCAAAGTATACTATACACTTTTATGAAAATGTCTTATGAAACCCAGTACTATGTACAACAGCCATATACCAACAAAAAAATTAATTAAGTAAGGGCTGGGGAAATGGCTCAGTCGGTTAAGTCTTGCCACACAAACACTGAGGACCTGAGTTCATATCCCCAGTATACACATAAAAAGGCAGGCAATCTCACACTTGTAATCCTAGCACTGGAGAAGTCAAGATAAGAGAACCTACTGGACAGCTAATCTTGCCAAATACAAGCAATTCCAGATTCAGTGAAGAACCTTGTACTAAAAAATAAAGGAGAGCCAGGCAGTGGTGGCATACACCTTTAAAGCCAGCACTTGGGAGGCAGAAGCAAGCAGATCTCTGTGAGTTCAAGGACAGCCAGCACAACACAGAGAAACTGTCTCGAAAAAAAAAATAAAATTAAAATAAATAAATAAAGTAGAAAGAGAAGACACCCAAAATTGGCCTCTGGCCTCCACAAACACACATTCATATACACATATACCACACAAAGAATAATAAAAACAAATGTTACTGTATCTTTTCTGTGTTCTTATGTATTGGTGAAGAGTTGCTTATTAAAGATGTGTACGCTTCTTAAAGCTTATACATTGCATTTATTGGATCACATAAGAAATTTAATTTATTTCCTATGTGTAGGAGGGTTGTGGGTGGCTGCACAGGAATTAGCTCTCTCCTTCTACTATGTGAGATCCAAGGAGCGAACTCAGGTTGTCAGGGTTGGTAGTAAATGAACTTTATCTGAGTCATCCCAACAGCCTTGAATTTAATTTTATAAGAAGATCAATTGTTGATTTTTAAAATACTCTTAAAAGTGGTAATGGACAATGCAACAGAGAAAATTTTTTTTAAAAAAAATTGATTTTTACAATGCAAAAACATACTAAATGGACTTTTCTAAAAAAAAGAAAAGAAAAAGAAAAAGCATGCTAAAAGTCTCAATTTTTGGATCCCAGATAGACAACCACCCTGCAATAAGGAATGCTAGACAGTTCTCGATGGCATTTTAAAATGTGTTTAAAATTGACTGGTTCAGTGGTAGAGTACGTAGGTGTCTAGAATGTGTGAGGCCCTGGATTCAATTTCTAGCACCGAATCTAAAGAGGAGCAGCCTACTGGCATCACTGCTCTAGCATGTCCTATAACATGGCAGGGGGTTCCAAAGCAACTTGGGGTTCAATGATCACTGGCAGAAGCTGGTCACAAACACTGAAGGCCATCAAGGAAGGATTCACAGCTGACAGAAAATCAAAGGCTTTGTCAAATACTAGCAGCAGACACAGAGGATGTGAGTGTGCCCAGGGACTCCAAAGACAAGATCAATGGAGCACACTGCTTCTTGGACTGCATGCACGCCACCCTCAGAAACCCCAACCTGTGCATTCTACATCCTGACCACACTTGGGTACCAGCCCTTTGTCCACAGTGTGAAGAATGGCACCACTCAGGTGTGTTTGTATGAGGTACCTACCCATCTCTTGCATGTGCGATTATCCATCAGAAAATAGCACCTAGAAATAAATATAGTCCCCTCCCCCCCAAAAAAAACCCTGAAGGATTACCAATGTTATAAAACCAAATCTCTGCCTTTTTGCTTGTAAGAATTTTTCTATATAAATATCAAAAGTAGTGATGGTTCAATGGAATGGTATTCCGGGAGGCTGTAAACTGTGCCCAGGACAGTGGTGGACATGCGACCTGGACACAAACATCCTAAGGGAAGCAATACAGTATATAGTGCACCCTCACACAGGTGCTGAGGGCACCCAGCTCCTCCGGTGAAGACCCCCAAATAAAGCCTATCCCCTGACAAGTCTCGTTTCCTGAACATCACAGCATCAGGACATCTGACTTGGGACAGATTGTGGCCTCTAAATGTCCAAGGCAGAGCCCATTTTCCCAGCAGTTTCTCATGTAAGTGGCCACACTGAAGTCTTGGGCATAGTGTAGGGCCCAAGTAAGTGGTCATCCCAGGGCCAGCTATTCCTGGTCTCTTCACAGCCAATCTCAGAGTCAGCCCCATCCACAGAAGTAGCTCCTACATTCTAATAGCTCAACCCAGCCCAGCCCCCATCATTCCAGAGACACCCTGTGGTCACAAAGGCTGGCTCCCCTGGATCATTCTTAAAGTCCCTACAACTCCTTCCCAGCTCCCATCTAGCCTTATAGTCCTCCTCTCCGCCAGAACTCCCATTGCAGAGTGTGTCCCAGAGACTCCCTAACCCTACAAGGCTCTTCTATACCCCAAGGAAGACGCACACCACCAGGCAGACTCTCTGGAGCAGGAAGCAGATCAGCAAGTCAGAAGCTAAACCCAGTTATCGGACAGACAGATACACACCTGTTTCCCCAAACATGGAGCTGACAGTTAAATATATATCTAGCAAAAGAGAATCACCGTGGCTGCTATGGA